AGGGCATTATTACAAGCAATAGGATTGTAAAAGCAGGAGTACTCACCAATATCATTAGCTAAGGAAGCAGGATCAGAAGCCCCAAGGGTGGCCTCAAACTCTTCCTGAAGACGATAAGCTCTTTGAAGCAAGGATTCAAGCTTATGAATGAATTCAGCACTAATGATGTCCTACAAGCAGAAAGGAATTAGAAGAAAAAATTTTCTATTTGTTTACAGTCTAAAAGGCAAAAAAAAAAGCCAAGAATATTATGCCTTTAAAAAATTCACTGTGCTCCACTAGTTTACCCACCAACAGTACAACAACATCATCTGATGGATAATTCAACATCCAAAATATACAAACTTTCTCCACACACACAGACACACTTTATTGAGTGTAATAACATTAAAATCTACGTTTAAAAGTTCTTTTTAATTGTGATGATTACCGCACTAGAAATAATTAATGTTTCTTTTAAAATATTTTAGCATTTAGTTTATGTGAACAAAGGAATACAAAATAAAGTTCAATCCCATTATTTCCTGTGTGTTCATCTTTCTCAAGACTTGTGTCTGTGCTAAGGAGATTCTCTAGGAGGATTCTTAAACAATCCTGCAAGAAAGGGATGACCCAACGGACCTGGTTCAGAAAAATGGTTAAGAGAAATGCCTAGTGGCTTTTTAATCCTTTAAACATAACATCACTAAATGGAAAGTCAGAATTTGCACTCAGTAACTGCATTAGAAGTTGAGAATACTTAGGTAACAAAGCCCCATGAACTGTCAAGCAGCAGCAGTATATGACAGCTTGAATATACTTACTTCTACACTTTCTTCTGCAATTGCATCTCCAGCTCCTAGCTTGATGGAGCTACAACTTGCTTCATCTTCTGCTTGTCTGTTACGGAAAGTTAATGCCTGCTCCCAGCGGCGCAGTGCCTCCTCAAAGAGCTCCATACCTAGGGGAGATCAGGAATACCTCCATCCCATCAAACATACAGCCTCCATATGTCTTCACATTTTAGAGTCACAGGAAACTATGTGGATAATAAGAACCATTATAGCAGAGATGTAAATTTTTTAAACAATTCCCAATCTTAAAAAAGGGTATTTTTTAATAAGGTAGGGAAGTTAAAGGAGTGATTAAAGGAACGGACTCTAGTGGTATTTTTTCCATTTTTTTTTTAACTGATTTATATTTTAATAGTAAGCTATAAAATAGGTTTTTCAGAAACTCTAAATGAAGTAACACTTCATTATTTTATGGAAACGTTCTTAAAACACATGCCTACAGAAAGATATTTTTCCAAAATGGATTGTTCTCACAGTACAGGAGAAAGAATAGGGTTGCAGCTTACTAAGAATGCCAGAATAATACTGTGCACTTGGCTATAAAAACAATCATATACTTTTGATGCTGCTAGATGCTGATTTTTCTTACTATAACCTACCCATCAAATACAAATTTTCAGGTGTGGTCACCGGAATATTGACAAGCTTAATATCATCTTCATCTGCTTTATCCCAGGAGTTAGAATTGGCACAAGCACAACTGTGACAAGAGGTAGCACTTTGAAAATGAAGCAAGGTGGAAAAAAAAAAAAAAAAAAAAAAAAAAGCATAATCTTACTGACCATCCTTAAAAATATACTCCTACCACAGTACATTACAGTCCGAGTTATATACGTAGTCTCACTTTTTGAGGTACTTGAGAAAAAAAAGGTTTTGTTGGCAATGTTGAAAATAATTATACTATTTTTACAATGCTTGAAGTGAGGCAGCCTTCTTCGTATCACATCCATCTTCTGTGCAGTCTGAAGTTCTTCTGAAGAACTTCTGAAGTTCTGCAGATTACTCAGGAAAGTTGTTCCAGCTCAGTGAAACCATTAGGTGCATACGTAGTGCAAGTTAACAGACATGGAAGAGCCTTAAGGCACCTTCACTTACCGAGGCCAGACTCTGAACGGAACCAGAGTATTTACTGAAAAGTCCTCCATTTGCATAGATACAAGACTGGGATCCTTTTTCCTTAGCAGAGCTCAGAGAAAGAGTCAAGTTTTGCCGGCTACTGGAACAACTAGAACCTAAGAGATACAGTAATTTTAAAGCTTCTGCAAGCTGAAAACACTGTATTTTATATTACCAATTACTATCAAACTTTTTCCAAACTTTTCAATAAAATTAGTTCAAAAGTAAACAATGACTTTATTTACATTTCCATATTAGAAATAGGAATTTTAATATTCAGAATATCTACAACAATAAACATGCATGTAAGCATAATCATTTACCCACCCTACAAAAATACCAATCTTCTTTTCTCAGTGTACGGATACCTCCAAAAGAACTATGAACTCAATAATTAATAGAGTTTTGATAATGATTAAATAACGATTAAATGTTAGCTTTGAGAATAATACCTGGTAACTTGTAAAATACTGTAATTTTGTTCTCAATTTTCTTATTCCCCTTTAATAATCCTGCACCCTTTAAGGGCATAGCATTAGAAGGAAAAAGTTTGTTTCACTACTACGTACTATTATGCACACCCATTCCCCCCCATCCCTTTTCTTCCCTTCCGAGAAGCAAACAAACAGAAAACCAAAAACCGGGGTTCCTTCATGTACCTTTTTCTGATGCAGCTGCTTTGGTGCATTCTATTACTATATGACCTGGCTCCCACGGTGACCCTTTCCTGTTCTTCTTTCCACGCCTTCTTTTAAAATGATGAGCCAGAAAAATAATAGATATTGCACTCACTGCTGTTACTGTAAACAACTTCTTTAGCCCAGGGGAAAGCTTTACCTGAAAGCACAAAAGCATTGACTACATTGTAAACTTAGGTTCTTCATTCTCACCTTGTCTCTTGCTGCAGAGTGTTCAACCTAAACTGTACCTTGTCCGAAGAAGGTAAGAGATGCTGCTCTCACACAACCTGAGAAATCCCTGACTCTGAACAAGGACAGACTCCAGTTGCTTCCTAAATGTTGTGGCAGATAATAGGTGAGGCAAAGCTCTCTCACAGATTAAAAAGGGGCTGGTGGGGGACAAAATGAATGGCTGCACTCGGGATACTTCAGGATCAACCATTACATACACTCTAATTCCAAAAATTAGTGCACTCCTATGGTATGGAGAGGAAAGAAAACAAAACCACCACCAACAAAAAATACAATAAAAATCCAATAATACTAAGCAGCAGCTCACAACTCCAGTCCTAGTACTTTTTTCAACTAATTCAGAAATATTTCACTCCATCACTTATCACATACATATGCAGTTAATTACAAGCAACAGATAGCTCTGAATGTGCACAACACAATTACGGTTCCTCCTCCCTAACTTCAACATGAAGGTGCTCTAGGGACAACTCAGGTTTTACAATTCCCTGTAGACAGAGAGCGTCAGCTTTACAATCCTTCCAGTTTTCATCAGCCTGAAAACTAAGACCATAATGTACTCTTCTCTCAGATTTGAAAGACAGCTATCCATGTTGCTATTCATTTAATGAAAACTAGCCTACAAGATTAACAAAATAAATCAAAATAAATCACACTACAGCCACCTGTAAAAGCAAATATTATGATTAGCAAGCCTTTAAGATTTTATTTGCGTAAGATCATTCTGTAAAAACAGACAAAAACAAAAAATAGAGAACTCCTCCACATTATTGGTTTAAACTCCATCTTTTCTTTAAAAACAAACAAAAAATCACTGCCTTGTTTTAGTCACACAGCAGATGTTTAATCAAACATAAGTGATTCAATAACTACAGCAAGTTTTTTGTTATTTTAAACTTGCATTAATGAATTATTATTCAGATTAAGTTTGTAAGTGGCACTAGCAATACAGAAATATTCAGATGATACAATACTAATCAAGATTTCATCACAGACATATTTAGCTGACACATTCTATAAAAAAAAGGAGAGAAACAACTAGAAAATTGTAATATTTGATCAGAATCCTTCTGTTATAATGTTTATTCAGCAACAAGGACAGAGCATTGCAGAAAAAGTACACTTTGCAGTCTGATGATGCCGTAAGGTTTAATCAGTAGAAAAAAAAAACACTTTTACTTTAGTTCAGTGTTCTAAATAAATTAAAAATCATGATATTCCTTGCAAATATAAGTCATATTAAACACAGAACACTGAAGGCAATTAAACATGCAAACTGTTGTACATTATAAGTGAAAATATTCAGATAACACACACGTTACCTGGCTAAGAGAATAGTACCAAGAAAGGGGAAGATGAAACACCCGCGAAGCTGCTGTCTTCAAAGAAAAGCGTGTCTCAGCAACAGCTTCTTCTGACATGGCTCCTTCTCTCCCATAACCACATTAACTGGAAGCAGCCGAAAGCAGGAGCCACAGATGGTCTCTGCCACACTCTGTCAAACGAAGGACACATGTTAAATTAGGTACCACAAGCCTAGCAAAGCTTCCTTCTGAAAGCATCATACCAAGTACATGGTTTGTTTATGTTTTTCTGAAAGGAAGGGAGATCTGTGTAAGATCTCAGGACCATGAATAAGCTGCCTTAGCTTAGGCCAAAATCGGCCTAATCGCTAGTCGCAAAGCCCCGTGCCCTGGCGAACGGGACTCTGCAGAGGACTCGGTCTCCTTTAAATTGCTGCTCCCCTAGTGCGTGCTGCATTATTCATAGAAACAGCCCTGTGCCTACAGTTGAAAGCAGTATTTTGGGAAGAACACATATCTCAACTAGAAGACTTAGGAAACTCAGAAGTGCTTGAGATCGGCCTAATCGCTAGTCGCAAAGCCCCGTGCCCTGGCGAACGGGACTCTGCAGAGGACTCGGTCTCCTTTAAATTGCTGCTCCCCTAGTGCGTGCTGCATTATTCATAGAAACAGCCCTGTGCCTACAGTTGAAAGCAGTATTTTGGGAAGAACACATATCTCAACTAGAAGACTTAGGAAACTCAGAAGTGCTTGAGAGCAACCAGAAAGTTATTCTCATATTCGATATATATTA